AGGCACCGCCCTCCGAATCTCGAGAGCCAGACTCCCAACATGATTACTTCCTCAAAAATCGAAGAGACACTGCTCTCCGAATCTCGAGAGCCAGACCCCCAGCATGATTGCTTTCTCAAAAATCGAAGAGGCATCGTTCTCCGAATCTCGAGAGCCAGATACCACAGACCACTTTTTCAAAGTGCTCTGACAGAGTTAAAACATGTGAAAACTGGCAACTCCCACTACCGTGCTATGACCAAGCAGGGTAAAGGAATAGCATTACTACTTGTTGTTAGGGAGACTCCTATATATGTCGACCTCCATCCCCAACGGACAGGCAGACCTGCAAAAATGCTCAACCCTTCATCATATCTGAGAGGGCACTCCCAACGAAGTCTTTCGAAATATTCAGCTTTCTTTCCCCCCGATAATACCTCTGCAAACAAGCTATACTAGAGCAAGAATATCTCATATCATCAGGGTTAAAAGCAAGAGTATCTCATATCATGCTTTTTCCCTGTCTTTTCCTTTGGCCTTGTTTTTACCTGCAAGACAAGGAGAAAGAGAGCAATCAGTCAGCACTTGGAATCAACCTTCCAGCCAGGAACTGACTGCCTGGAACCCCTTACCTGATTACTTACCTGGCATTGCTCTCGAGTACTCATCTTCAACATCTTATGTTTCCAGGGAAGATTCCGCATCTGCTTGAGGAACAGATAGGGCAAGTGCGAAGGATACAAGGAAGCATGTGGAGACAAGCGTAACAGCACACGTGCCGATACATCCATTACTCTGTCAAAAGAAAAAGTATCCCATATCAGCAGGGTGGAACGTACTCTAGATTTGATGGACTTGTTTTGACCCTCAAATTCTTCAGTCGGCCTTATACTCTGGAGGAAACCAGAAAACCCTCCAGCTCAGTTCAAGAATAAGCCTGTGGAAAGTTACTTCTTCAAAAGCAAAAGTATCTCATATCATCTCTTCTCATTTTTCTTCTTTTTATCCTTCATGCTGCTGCAAGATGGGGAGAAGGTGAACAATCAGTCGGAGCTCTGATTGCTTACCTTGTCTGTCACCTCTTTCAGCAGACCCCCTAGCTCGGCGACTTGGGGGACTCCTACTACATGGTTTGTATCGCGCTTGACCAAGCCTGAGACTACAAGTAAGCTTCAAGTGAAATTGATACATTACCTTGTGCATCTCCACCAGTTAAAGATACCACCCTTGGATGGAGGAAGAGTACTTCCAGAGAAGATGCCACATCTACCTATGAGACAGATAAGGCAAGTCAAGACGACACCACACTCCGATACTTAGAAGTTTCGTGATTACGAGATCATTCTCCCACAATATTTCCTAATGTCATTTGTACTAAATCATTCACTTGTACTCACTAAAGGAGAGCTTGAACCTATGTACTTGTGTAAACCCTTCACAATTAATGAGAACTCTTTTATTCCGTGGACGTAGCCAATCTGGGTGAACCACGTACATCTTGTGTTTGCTTTCCTATCTCTATCCATTTATATACTTATCCACACTAATGACCGGAGCAATCTAGCGAAGATCACAAAAAGCGACCGTTTTCGCTACCTAGGATCTATCTTGCAAGAGAACGGAGAATTAGATGGAGATCTCAACCATAGAATACGAGCTGGATGGATGAAGTGTAAGAGTGCATCCGGCGTGTTGTGTGACCGTCGTAGGCCACTGAAGCTCAAGGGAAAATTTTATAGGACGGCAATAAGGCCAGCGATGTTGTATGGCACAGAATGTTGGGCGGTGTGAAGCATCAACACGTACACAAAATGGGTGTAGCGTAGCGGAGATGAGGATGCTTCGTGGGATGTGTGGGCACACGAGAAAGGATAAGATTGGGAATGAGGATATCCGAGGTAAAGTAGGAGTAGCCGAAATTGTAGGAAAGATGAGAGAAAATCGGCTCCGATGATTTGGACATGTGCAAAGAAGGCCGACTGACGCTCCGGTTCGAAGATGTGACTACGGGACAGAGGTTCAGGGCCAAAGGGGTAGAGGAAGACCTAGAAAAACTTTGGAAGAGACTCTAAGAAAAGACTTAGAGTACTTGGATCTAACGGAGGACATGACACAAAACCGAGCGCAATGACGTTCTAGGATTCATATAGCCGACCCCACTTAGTGGGAAAAGGCTTTGTTGTTGTTGTTGTTGTTGTTGTAAAATATAATGATGAAAAACATTTATTAATCACTTTAAATTGATTTGAAAAAAACTGTCAATCCACATTATGCCACATAGGCATTGGAATTCACTAATGCTGTGTTTTTTTTTTAATTGTTACTGCTCATGTGGACTTTCTTACTTCTCCTTTGGAGATGCTCTTACCACTTTAAGGTTAACGGCATTTGTCCTCTCTCATCTCCTCCACCGCCAAACAAACGAGACACCATTTGACAGACGACACGATTTATTTTTAAAGTTGAAAAATAGAAAATTAATTATAAACTTACAGATGGTCCCCCAAATATATTTTTATGTGTCGAAAGTATTTGGAATATCCTCAAATTAGTTTTATGAAACATGTGGCATGACGAGAATGACTCGAATTTTGGCTTATAATGATTATTGTACGAATTTCCAAAATCGATTGCATAACGTGAGTTATAACTCACAGTTTTTATTAATGGAATTTAAATTTTAGTTTTAGGAAGTATTTTGCATGGAGTTAAGAAAAATATTGCAAGACCTTCACATGTAATCCTACCATTTATTAGGTCCCCGAATTCTTTTTTATTGATTTTTAAAGTTTTTGAAAAATGGAAAAATGACTATATGTTTATACCGGGGGACCCAAAGAGATTTGGAGGTGTCGAAATCTTCGGAATGCCCTAAAATTAATTTTTTGAAATATGCGGTGCGACGAGAATGAATTAAATTTGGCTTATAATGATTATTGTACAAATTTCCTAAATCGATTGGAAAAAGTGGATAATACTCTCATAACATCATCTATAACCTCCACACACCGTTGTTGCCGGTAGAAAACAAGAGCATCGGAGCACGATGACGAGTCGACATTGTAGAAAATCGTATTGCATTGTCCTTCGTTTTACGATGCCATGACTTACGCACCATACCAAATAGGAAGTAGTCTCTGTCTAATGTCAATCTCTCTGAAATTAAACCCGGACCTGACTTCTCTGCCCTCTCAGTTTCCATACACTCTCATTCCCTTCTACTTATGCGGTTACGGTTAAATCACGTCAACATTTTATATCACTATTTCTTTTTATCTTATCATCCTATAAAAAAATCAATATAAAATGTTGACGTAATTGCCAAAAATAAGAGATGATGAGAGTATATAGAAACTGGGAGGGCAGAGAAGCCGGGTCATTAAACCCACAACTGCAGGCAAGTTTGCCCAATCTACAAAAAACAAAAAAAAAATTAATTAAATTACGATCTAGTCCGAGATTTGCAATACTATCAACATGATGCAACGAGAGAGGCTCGCACTTTGGATTATTTGGAATTAGAAAATTATATTCACACGAATACGATTTGCGAGAGAAGAAGAACAATAACGCAAAGAACAAAATAAATTAAAAAAAAAAAAAAAAAAGAGCTAAGCGACACAAATAACACAATAAAATATTTTGAGAGAAACATACCCGGACCCATAATTTCAAGATGTCAAGTTGTCAACCGGAGCCAATCGCTAAAGGTAGACTACAAGCCAACAAGATTTCTTGCTTTACAAGGATCGTAGGAAAATGTTTATCGATCACTAAAAGCCTTATTATAATCTAATTGACTGATTAAACATTTATTCTTCCGTTATTTATATATAATTTTTTTTACAATTCCTAAAAGAATAGGATTTAGGGTTTCTGCTCCTACTTCCGCAACGAATAGGTACATGATTTTCCCGATAAGATTTGGGATGACAGAGGTTTACTTGAGTGACTAGATAAAGATAAAACCGAGTTATAAAATAAAACTTTAACGAAAAATTCTTGTTACTGTTTACTTTTACACTAAAAAATCATTTCTGATACTATTCACTTTATCTTTTATTTTGTTTATTATTAAAATTCAAAATTTTCATACATTTTTCATTAGTTTTCTTTAGGTTATCAATATTTCTAATAATAAATGACCTTCAAAATAATAGGGAAATATGGGTAGCGGGACCCACTTGAACCCACAATTCAAAATAACTGGAGCTATGTGTACCAAAATTTTGTTTTTTTAACTAACGATATTATTTTTACTAAGAGAGAATGTACCAAAATTTTGTTTTTTGTTTTTTTAGCTAAATATATTATTTATACTAAAGAGAAAGAGAGTGAGTTTAGCCTCATAATGAACTAGCAATAATGTAATTCAAATTTACCTTTGACGAGAATCGAAAACTATTTAGTGATACCAAATTAGAATTTTACGACTTGAATGATTACATAATCAATTATATACAAATACAATCCTTGTTCAATAAGGAAATAATAAAGAACACAAACATATATCATTCCTAATAAAGGACTCCTAATATTTACACAATCTTTACATGCCTTTTTAAAATTAACTCACATTTACAAGAAAGACATACCCAAACATATAATTTGAAGATTGCAAATTGTTGCCCGTCGTCGAAGCGGATCACTTAAAAGTGTCTTCAGTGTGGATCCATCCCCAATTTCTACATGTAGCGTTTGTGCATTTATCCGCAACAACTTAGCGTAACACACACACACACACACACACACATATATATATATATATATTTAACCTGAGGTTATGATCCAATAGGTTAAAACAAGGGACAGAGATCCCAGCAGGATCTCACCCCACCAAATCCTAAGAATCTGGAGATCCGGACCATTGAAATTTGATCAAATGACTATAAACATGAGACCCTTCTAAAAGTGATAATAATTGTAGCCGTTGGATCAAATTTCACGGGTCCGGATCTCCGGATCCTTAGGACTTGGTGGGGGAGATCCGGCTGGGATCCCTGTCCTAAAACAAGGGCAACGAGACCTATAAATCAGTTGATCAAAACAAAAATGATTTACAAGGCAAAGAATCACCAAGCTTCGCAAATAATGAAATTTCATAATCCTTAATCTCAATTAACAGTACAATGACCTGGTCGGACTATGCAAGAAATTTTCGGAACCCCTCCTGTCATATATCGAAACATATGCCGAGAGGCACCTTGAAGAAACGAGCTAGAATCAAACCAAATGATGGCACTTGAAGGTGTTGATGACGTTACCGTTCAATTTGCTAAGTTTGTTTCACTGTTTGTGGTTTCTGCTGCATCCTTGGGAATAGCAGATCATTGAGTTGTCTCTCAGCACTGTACTCAGAAGTTGCCTGAAACCACACGGTAGACGAGGTAACCAAACCAAAGGCAACGCTACTTTTCAACACAAGCATGTTGTATTTCATGGTTCTGAAAGAGTAACAGAGGAATTTGCAACTACATTTTATTGTGCTTCAGAGTTCAGAGATGGCTCAATAATATGCGGAAGATAGATGGAACGTTAAACGCCATGGATTAAAGATAATTGGCTTACCCGTGTGTTAAGTGCGAATCTCAATGTCTGGACTTGTGTTCCTGAGCATACCCTTAATTCAAATCCAAGGGAATCTACACCAATAAGTACTGCCTCCTGCAATATAATTCGACAAAGATTAATCATCGATAAGACTACATTGATTTGCAACAACAACATTAAAGGCGGATTTAACAAGATTGGGATAGATATGTAAAATAGACTTTCTCATTCTACGAAATCAGATTCTAGCCTTTGTGGGTGTTGAAGACGATCTCATATATCACAGAAGTTGGGCATTCAATCTAACACAACCTTTCTGGAGAACATAAGTTTTGAAGTTGTTCAAAATTGTAAAAAAAAAAAAAGGAGTGCAAAACCTACAGCCACGTCTTGGAAACAGATGTGGAAACTGGTTTAACAAGTTCGAATATGTCGGCAAAAAAAAGAAGTGGTACCTCCACTTGAAGACCCTTTAGTCTCCAACATAAGGACTTGAGAGCTTGCGTGGTCTCTTCTCCATCAGCTTTCAGACGAGATATCATTTTAGCTGCCGAGTGTGCAATGGCATCGGGTTGGGCTTTTACAAAGTCTTCTACTTCAACAACAGTCCGTGGAGAATTAGAACAAAAGATTTAACCATTTCTTTAGGATGTCTTTTTAATTTTAACTAGCAGAGAGCACACATTTTGTATGTGTGGACAATTTCTCTTAACAAGTGGATATTTTTTTTCTATACTATTATATTAAGAGAAGCCTTCTTGTCAACTTTTTTCTTTTTTTTTCCCCTATTTTGTCCTCCTTATGTAAATATTGTGTTTGGGTATCAAAAGTGAGGGTAAAATTGGAAAAACAAGTATATGATCACTACTAGGAAACTAGTTATTAGTGGCGTTTTGAAAACCGACAAAAAACATATATTACTGTCAAATTTTAAGCAAAATCCGACAGAAAATGGAGGATTTAATAAGCGACATAATTGTCTAAGTCAGGGAATTAATTTTCCGACAGAAAATACTCTAAAACCGACAGAAATTGTGTCGGATATAACCGACACAAAATGCTTAAACCATTCCGGCGAGTCTCACCACCCACCACCACCCTTAATCAACTCCCCTTAGACCCAGGAACAAGACCCAACCAGTTGTAGGGGCGTTGAAACACCGAGGAAGTCGAATCGAAGAACACCCACCTTAAGGTTTCCGACGGGTGCGAGCCAAATTGAGGCTTTTCCCGGCCAAATTGAACTTGGTCACAGGGATAAAACTTACTCTACTCATTAAGATCTTCATTCTGATAAAATTTGATAATTTTTCGAAAAAGTCGAATTTTCCGGTAAATCGGACCGCTGGCCACAGGTGTACGCTTTTTCTTATACGTAAGACAAATCTGCCAATGGGCATGTTTTAAAGAAACTAAATGACGAAAAAATTAAAACAAGCTCTTTACAAGTACTGAAATGTCGGCACAATCCAAATCGGAGGCCGAATACTGTTGCTCACCATCTCCATAGCAAGCTTGCTGAAAGTGAAAGGCCGCTGTGGATCAACGATTCCGCTTTCGAGATCATACACACCTAAATCATGAGGTCCACGGCCACCAAACTCAATTGTTGACTGACGATCTTCATCATGGGTGAAGTATATGCAATTCGACCGGCATCCAGGAATATTCGAAGCCACAACGGCAACGGTAGAGTTGTCACCCAAAAGGAGAGCCACATCACCCAAGCTTTTTTTCTCAATCCACTCGCGCTTCAAATAATCCAACTTGAAAATTTCAAATTTTTTTGTCACACGTTTCTCACGTTCATAATCGTGATCAATGTACCTAGCAACCGTCAACAACTCCTCCTCGTTTACACTCACGAGATATAGCCTCGTAAAAAATTCGTCTGGTTTCCTTGTAGTAATAAATTTTATATCCGAACTGGAACGAGCAGTAATGTCGAAAGATAAAAGTTGCGACTCATCACCACCAACAGCGTAGAATTGATTTCGAACCGGAACAACTTCGAAAAGTACGAACCTCAGGTCTTCGATGTAAGTCCACATTTTGTCTTTGTTGAGTCTAATAAAAGCCAACTGACAACGACCTTCGTATATGACCAACACAACGCAATTGTCTGCATCTAGTATTGGATCAGCTGTAATTGTGGCCTTGTAAACACCATAGTTAGGCCTCCAAATACATACGTCTTCCCAGCTTGGAGGGTTGAACGGAGGAAGACGGATGATTGAATTTTCTTTCACTTTCCTGCCCTTAACCCTAAACACCGGATTGATTAAGGTTATCGTAAAATCCTCTTCCACAGCTATTAACCATCCTTTTGATGATCCACAAAACCGTTTTTTTGATAATTTTAGCTGTAAATCAAGGACCTTGTCGCGCATGACATCGTATAACCTCCACACACCGTTGTTGCCGGTAGAAAACAAGAGCATCGGGGCACGATGACGAGTCGACATTGTAGAAATTCGTATTGCATTATTCTTCGTTTTACGATGCCATGACTTACACACCATACCGAATAGGAAGTAGTCTCTGTCTAATGTCAATCTCTCTGAAATTAAACCCACAACCTCTGTAGGCAAGTTTGCCCAATCTACAAAAACAAAAAGAAAAAATAAATAAATAACGAGTTAGTCCGAGATTTGCAATACTATCAACGATTCAACATGATGCAACGAGAGAGGCTCACACTTTGGATTATTTGGAATTAGAAAATTATATTCAAACGAATACGATTTGCTAGAGAAGAAGAACACTACCACAAAGAACAAAATAAATTAAAAGAAAAAAAGCAGCTAAGCAACACAAAGAACACAATAAAATATTTTGAGAGAAACATACCCGGACCCCTAATTTCAAGATGGCAAGTTGTCTGCCGGAGCCAATCGCTAGAGGTAGACCTCAGGCCAACGAGACTTTTTGTTTTACAAGGATCATGGGAGAATTTATCGAACGTTAAAAGCCTTGAGTATAATCTAATTGACTGATTAAACATTTCTTCTCCCTCCATTTATAAATAAATTTTTTTACAATTCCCTAAAATAATAGGATTTAGGGTTTATGCACTCCTACTTCCACAATGAATAGGTACAAGATTTTCCTAATAAGATTTGGGATGACAGAGGTTTACTTGAGTGACTAGATAAAGATAAAACGATTAAAAAGGTTATCAATATTTCTAATAATAAATGACCTTCAAAATAATAGGGAAATATAGGTAGTGGGACCCACTTGAACCCACAATTCAAAAGAACCGGTGATATGTGTACTTTCTTTTTTTAACAAACGATTTTTTTTTTACTAAGAGGGAATGTACCAAAATTTTGTTTTTTATTTTTTTTAGTAAATGATATTATTTATGCTAAGAGAGGGAATGAGTTGAGCCTCATAATTTAGTAGCAATAATGTAATTCAAATTTACTTTTGACGAGAATCGAAAACTATTTAGTGATACCAAATTAGAATTTTATGACTTGAATTATTACATAATCAATTATATACAAATACAATCCTTGTTCCATAAGGAAATAATAAAGAACACAAACACATATCCTTCCTAATAAAGGACTCCTAATATTTACACAATCTTTACATGCCTTTTAAAATTAACTCGCATTTACAAGGAAGACATACCCAAACATATAATTTGAAGATTGCAAATTGTTGCCCGTCGTCGAAGCGGATCACTTAAAAGTGTCTTCAGTGTGGATCCATCCCCAATTTCTACATGTAGCGTTTGTGCATTTATCCGCAACAACTTAACGTAACACACACACTTATATATATTTAACCTGAGGTTATGATCCAATAGGTTAAAACAAGGGACAGAGATCCTAGCCGGATCTCACCCCACCAAATCCTAAGGATCCGGAGATCTGGACCATTGAAATTTGATCAAATGACTATAAACAAGGGATCCTTCTAAAAGTGATAATAATTGTAGTCGTTGGATCAAATTTCAAGGGTCCGGATCTCCGATCCTTAGGACTTGGTGGGGGAGATCCGGCTGGGATCCCTGTCCTAAAACAAGGGCAATGAGACCTATAAATCAGTTGATCAAAACAAAAATGATTTACAAGGCAAAGAATCACCAAGCTTCGAAAATAATGAACTTTCATAATCCTTAATCTCAATAAACAATACAATGACCTGGTCGGACTGTGCAAGAAATTTTCGGAACCCCTCCTGTCATATATCGAAACCTATGCCGAGAGGCACCTTGAAGAAACGAGCTAGAATCAAACCAAATGATGGCACTTGAAGGTGTTGATGACGTTACCGTTCAATTTGCTAAGTTTGTTTCACTGTTTGTGGTTTCTGCTGCATCCTTGGGAATAGCAGATCATTGAGTTGTCTCTCAGCACTGTACTCAGAAGTTGCCTGAAACCACACGGTAGACGAGGTAACCAAACCAAAGGCAACGCTACTTTTCAACACAAGCATATTGTATTTCATGGTTCTGAAAGAGTAACAGAGGAATTTGCAACTACGTTTTATTGTTCTTCAGAGTTCAGAGATGGTTCAATAATGTGTGGAAGATAGATGGAACGTTAAACGCCATGGATTAAAGATAATTGGCTTACCCGTGTGTTAAGTGCGAATCTCAATGTCTGGACTTGTGTTCCTGAGCATACCCTTAAGTCAAATCCAAGGGAATCTACACCAATAAGTACTGCCTCCTGCAATATAATTCGACAAAGATGACTACATTGATTTGCAACAACATTAAAGGCGGATTTAACAAGATTGGGATAGATATGTAAAATAGACTTTCTCATTCTACTATCAGATTCAAGCCTTTGTGGGTGTTGAAGACGATCTCATATATCACAGAAGTTGGGCATTCAATCTAAAAACAACCTTTCTGGAGAACATAAGTTTTGAAGTTGTTCAAAATTGTATAAGAAAAAAAAAAAGGAGTGCAAAACCTACAGCCACGTCTTGGAAACAGATTTGGAAACTTGTTTAACAAGTTTGAATATGTCGGCAAAAAAAAGAAGTGGTACCTCCACTTGAAGACCCTTTAGTCTCCAACATAAGGACTTGAGAGCTTGCGTGGTCTTTTCTCCATCAGCTTTCAGACGAGATATAATTTTAGCTGCTGAGTGTGCAATGGCATCGGGTTGAGCTTTTACAAAGTCTTCTACTTCAACAACAGTCTGGAGAATTAGAACAAAAGATTAACCGTTAAAAAAGAGCTAGCATCAACTTGGATGACAAAATAAGAGTAAATCCTTCCTTACACAAACCTGACTTCCATGGGATGAAAACAGCTGAATCTTAACCATCCCCAGTTTGTAAAATGTAGTCCTGTTTCCCGGTGTTTCATCTTCCTTATTCTCCAATTCCTCTTCCGAGGCTGGACTATCCTTGGAAATTCCTGATTTATGGCCATTAATCCTAACAGGATCTTCTAAATCATCTTCTACAGTCCTCCCAACTTCATCTACGCCATCATTACAAGACTGGTGATCAGACAGATGCTTTTGGATAACAGAATGTTCTTCTATAAGTGCAGGCCTTATAAGGCCCTGAATAGCCAAACTAGCTGGAGCCTGCTCCGCCCAATCTATAGGATCATCAGAAGCAACCTGAAAAGTAAAACCAAAAGCGGAAATATGAGAAACGGAAATGACAACTTCATGAAAGACCCTGAAATGGGGTACAATTGCAGCTAGACACTTCAAATGAAAAAGAGGTACTACAAGTAAGCAAATGAAAAGCTCAAGAATTCCCCGCTGTTACAAACAGAACACACGAGTTAATTTTTTTCAATTACCTCTACATCACTCCATGGTAGGGTAAGAAAATTACAATGGACAATTACCTCACTTAGCTTCTTGGCAAAATTCATTGGGTGAGAGTAACGCATAGTCTGCAATTTTGCCCAGTTGTCAGAGTCATCCAGATCATCTTCGTCTTCATCTTCAAGAACAGCAACCCAATCCTAAACATGAACCTATTAAATAATTAGAAATGCGTTACAACATCCATGCATCCACATCTAAACAAATGAAAACACAAAACAGACCGAATCGTAGTCACCATCTTCTTCATCATCGTCCTCCTCGTCATCATCACCATCGTCAACGTCACTATCTTCATCGTCAATCCCATCCATTTCAAAATCAATTTCTGGTAATTCCATCTCATTGATCATTTCCGTAGCATCTAACCCAATAATAACTTGCTGCATCATTATAATAACCCACAAATTCGTAAGGAAAAGTCCAGAGCATAGGATTGCTGATAGAATGCAATCATCCCTACCAATCATTATCATTTTATTTGTTCATGAAAATTGCATACCACAAAGTTATTCTCTGAAGTTAGGGAACGAAAAGTGTCTTCACTATCCTTCACTTGAAAGTAGATATCTGCAACATGCTAGAGCGGGTTAAATCTTTACTTTGAAAGGAAAAGAAAATTTGCCAAGTCCAATGTACGATGTGAAAGTCACACACTTTGACTTACTTCCATGTTCATCAGTTACATAAGGCAAATCCGGACATAAAATATTTTCGTGAACCTCGTCATTGATCAAACTCAAAAACAAGAGTGTTGCTTTGCCGTTAACCTGAAAATGGCATACTATGGGCAATATTAGCAAGGTGGAACCTCGAAATGAAAATGGCGGAGCATCAACAAGTGAGCAAGTCCAATTTAGTACTCAAGATTCGAACTTTCGCCTATTTATCAACAATCGAATACAATGTACTACCTCAATGAGGGTTCTAGCAGATTCTGCAGCTGTAAGTCTAGCAGTGCCACCAGCCTCTAATGTGGACTCGGCAATATCCTCAAATGGGTGGTATTCCGGCCTCCCATTCGGCTTCACAGGCTCCGAACCGGGCCCTAACGGCCGGGCAGATGCCTGAATCCCATTCTTTACCAAATTTCTCCTTTTTGCAAACGAACCATTCTTTGATCGTCCGGTTCGATTCCTGTATCAAATTCTTATCAAATTTATGCACTTTCGAAACGTTGAAATTCAAATTGGTTTATTCAGCTAGAAAAAGCTCAGCTGCTGGACAATAGAAATCGAACTAATTTGCGTACCACGGCGCGGTGAACCCGCCGGAGCAAGAAAGGCGGCAGTGTACGGCTCCGGTCACCTCGTCTGAGCTCCACGTCGGACGATAGGCTGCAGTAAATAAAAGAAATTAAATTAGAAGCGTCGTGCTTGGGAACAGAGATAACGGAGGGAAGAAATGTGAAGAGCAAGTTGAGCTGTTAAAGTGAGGGGGCAGAGAGAGGAGGGAGTTACAGGGCATGGAGGTGGAGGAGCAGAGGTTTGTGGCGGCGAAGTTGAATTGTACGGCCATGGCTGACTCGATCATCATCATCGTTTTCGAGTTGGTTGTAGTTAATGCAAATGCAAGTGTGAGATCCACAAAATATCTCTCTCTCTGAAGAATCTGAAAGGATGAGGTTTGCTTTTTCCTTGGAGTTTGGGCTGCGATTCTCTGAGAAATAATTGGTTCGAGAGATTTTTTAGAGTGATCGGAACATGTGATGGTATACCATATATTACTATACAAATTATGAGATATATGTGCTAAAAAATTAATAATTTAATAAAAAATTTCATCACTTATATAAAAATACGTGGTGTATCACTCGTGTTCCGATTACAATAAAAATTTTCTCAATTGGTATAACTGAAATTCTAATTTTTAAAAACTTGTTTAGAAGTGCTTTTAATACTATTAAAAACACTTTTCGTGAAATTAGTTTTGGTTTTTAAAAATATTTTAAGTTAAAAAAGCGTTTTGAAGTATTTTTTTCAGAACCCTACTTGAGTTTTTTTTTTTTTTTTTAACAATTCAACTTGAGTTTTATTAAAAATTGATTTCAATAACATTTTCATTAAAAACGTATCTTCAAATGAGCCATTAGTACTTTCAACGAGTACTAGGTGTTTTTAAGAAACCACTTCTAAGTTTATGATTTAAAAGCATTTATCTGTTGTTTTGCCAAATGTATTCTGAAACGTTTCAGAGCCTGTAAATACAAGATATGATTATACAACTGAAGAAATACAAAAATTCATTTATTTTTTATGTCAAGTTCCCTACAATTGTTCCCTAATGCTTGCTGAATTGAGGTTTCCTTCATTGGAAATAGCTTTTGATACTACTGCAAAGTCCAACGTAGAGTTAAGTCAAGTTATTACAGGCGAGGAACAGAAACCAAATGAGAAAGAGTTGTTGATTGTTCTGTTGACCCAAAAAATTACACGGATTAAACCAAATGCAGGTGTGTCAATTCGCAACCGAGCTCAGTTGGTTGAATGAGATGAATGTGGTTGGGTGGTGACGATACGCGCTGCTAACTTCTACACCAAGTTTCAAAAAATCCTATAAAAACAAATTATGTTGATTCGTTATGTAATATTTCTCTACATTTTGGTTGTTTGATTCACCAAGTTGTTTTTTATGAATACTATTGGTTTCACCGGTTTGATATTAAACATATGAACTAACGTTGAGTATGGACAGTGTGAGGTCAAATAAGACCAAAATACAGAGAATATCATGCTTTTAGGTGCGACATGAAAGATCGTGTCACCCCTTCCCACGTTTTTTTTTCCATCAAGTAGTGGAATCTTTGCTTTTGGTGCTCAACAAATAGAACCAAAAGAAATTTCTTTTGGCGATTGGATGCATATGTAGTGAAGTTGGTACTGAGCTTTCCCAGTTAATTTACGTATGTTCATTCCATATATGCATGCTTTAGTTGGCTTTCCACATTGTCACAATCCAATGAGACTTCGTTTGGTGGGTTGGATGGGACATGTTGTGACCAATCAAAACGGATTTGAGTTCAGTCTGTTGTTTGTTATATTAAAATGTGAGATGAATATGACCGAACATGATGGATTACAAATTCACAATATTGTGGTTAACTAACCTATTTTTATACATGAGTTACAAGTCATGTCTTACAAGTCCTCATCAATCCAATTCTATCTCTAAAACCCAATCTCATCCAACCCACCAAACGGGCAAGTTTTGATGACTTAGGTTCCGTTTTTTACTCTTTGTTTTTTTGTTTTGTTTTCAATTAAAATTTGGTATTCCGTCTTTTTTTTTTTTTGGTTTTTATTTACCAGATTAATTATCCTATTTTTGTTGAATCTATAGATTTAGAGGTGTTCGGCAGTAGGGATTGGATTTGGACAGAAGACTGTACCTGTATATATTTCACATCTCCTACGTGTTCTGATTATCTTTGTCCAAAATTCACAAAACTTGACACTATTTGTTTCGTGGTTTTGTTCTTCATGCTGCAGTAACTCGCACAATCGATAAAAAGGATAGTCCTTCGCGTGTTCGTTCAAGCAAAAGTGTATAAAGCCAACCCTTCTGTTTGATAAATACATTGCAGTTCACCGTTGGAGTATTAGTACTTGCTATACTACCATGAGAGACGATGACATATTATGTTGTCAGACCGATTTCTGGGTGTTTATGGTCATATCTTTGGTCCTTGTGGCATTTGCCGGTATTGCATCAGGCCTTGCCTTAGGACTCCTCTCCTTCAGCCAAGTCGATCTTGAAGTCCTCATTAAGTCCGGTCAGCCTCAAGAACAGAAGAATGCAGGTTGCTAGCTGCGGTGAACTTCATTACAATATTATTTGTGAAAATTAATTACTAGCATAGCCTTAATCAGCTCGCTAAATTTGCAGCGAAGATTCTGCCGCTTGTTAAGAACGAACATCTACTTTTATGTACTCTCCTCATAGGAAAATCACTGGCAATGGAGGTACGCCGCTATGACATGCGTAATTTGTGCTGTTTTAATGTTCTGAAGTACTAAATTACTTGACCTGTTAACTAATGTATTGTTCTACAAGGCGCTTCCCATTTTCCTGGACTCGATTCTTCCCGTTTGGGCTGCGATTCTTGTGTCAGGCACCCTTGTTCTTGCATTTACGGAGGTAAAAATTTTGTTTTAAGCCATTCACTTGGTTTTTGTCTTGGCCTAATGCACTTTAAATGTTGGCAATACGTTATCGTTGTCTTAAGATCGTTTGTCCTTCACCTTTTCTCTTAGATCATTCCTCAAGCTGTATGTTCTCGATATGGACTAAGTCTAGGCGCGAAAATGTCTCACTTGGTCCGATTGCTTCTTGTGGTTTTCCTCCCCCTGTCGTACCCTTGCAGTAAGGTAAAATACACGTTCATGACATAGCTCAGATCAATGTCCAGTTTCGCTGGCTTCACATAACTCAACTCTTTTGTGTAAGCATAAACTGAGCAGATTAAGACTTTTTCGTGTTTGGAAAATTTGACCGTGGCAGCTGCTGGATTGCCTCCTTGGCAAAGGGCATTCGGCGCTCTTAAAACGAGGGGAGCTAAAAACATTGGTGGATCTGCATGCTAATGAGGTAAATTTGCTAGACATAATTAAATGTCATGTAAGGGTCTATGCAGACGCTGTCAAAAGTCTAATTACTATGATCATGTTCATCACTAGGCTGGGAAAGGTGGAGAGTTATCGCATCATGAAACGACGATTATTGCTGGTGCTCTGGATTTGACTTCCAAGACTGCTAAAGATGCAATGATTCCCATATCTCAAACTTTCTCCCTTGACATCAATTCAAAACTCAACATGTAAGTTACGATGGTTAGTTGAATCTGTTCATACCAAAATTAAATCACGTCTAATTACATTCGAGTACTATGTCATTCTGGTGTGTTTTGGTCCATGGATCTTTAGCCATACACTTGGTTTAATAACTAGCAAAGGTCACAGTCGTATACCTATCTACTCGGGAACCCCAACAAACATCATTGGCATCATTCTGGTAAGCACTTCGCACTTAGCAGGCCTCGTCGTTTACTATTTCCTTAAAGCTACCTTTCATCCACGTGTAACTAATTTCACATTTTTTCGGAATGTACTAGTTGAAGAATTTGATCTTCAGCCGCCCTGAGGACGAAACGCCAATTAAATACTTGACTATCAGAAGGATTCCAAGGTAGGCTATGACTGTTCCCTTATGGAATCTAGCAATTGGCTTCATGCTAACACAAGTTTTGGGCAAAACCAACAACTGTTTCCAAGAAACTAATTTGCCGAAAAGCACATATGTTTAATGTAAAATATAATGCTTTACATAATCTGTAACAGGGTCTATGATAATTCGCCTTTATACGATGTACTGCAGCAGTTCCAGAAAGGTCATAGTCATATGGTTGCTGTGGTGAAGAGTAACAACAAGGATACTAATTCAAGATCACTTTCAACACTGGCTGAGGGTAGAGGTAATTTAAATTATACTGAAAATAAGGTTTTTGGGCAAAAATTTGTCTTTAGGCTAGTAGAATTCATGGTTGTTAAGTGCGATTCTACAGGATTAAATTTTTCGCATGAACAAAAAGAGCGTTTGAGCATTCCCGTGGACATACCATCACCTCTATATTCAACTGAAACTGCAAATACGACACATAGGCAAGGATTGCGCACGCAAAATGTATCATCTGAAAGTTTAGAATCTCTTCAAGGGGACAAGGAGGTAATCGGCATCATAACAATGGAAGATGTCATGGAGGAACTGTTGCAGGTAACCAAGTTAGTAAATAAATTGATGAACTGTTTTTTTATTTTTTATGGCAATATACATTTGAAAATTAAACTAACCAGTCTATTTATTCTGTCTTCAAGGAAGATATACTGGATGAAACAGATGAATACGTCGATGTTCACAACAAGTAAGTGATGACATTTTTCTTGTTTCTACGCAAACTCCAAGTCTGTTCCAAAAATTAGAGCGAAACCCTCAACCCGAATGATTCTTAATACTTTAATTAATACTATTTATATTTGATCTTGACTACTTGCTTTGGTTTTTCTTTTTTGTACCACAGAATCAAAATCAACCTCCTACCATATTCAAGACGATCATCAGCCTCAAAAACTCTAAGCAAATCTGCGTCTCAGATTTATTGGAGAACTCCAGAGCCGGCTCTACTATCTTCATACAGCACTTCTGCACCCGGGTCTCCCATTCATCCATACACTCAACAACCTATCATAAGACCTGCCCTGCATGCATCTGCAGGCCTGGTTCGCAGCTGACCATCCTTGCATCGAGTGAGTTAATATATCCAATCTAATTTTAGGCACCAAACGTGACGTAACATGACTATAATTCTGTAACATAAATAGGTTTGCTTTGTTTATATGATTTTTTTTTTATCATGGCAGGCCTCAAGAAAATCGAATGATGAGAAGCTGCAAAATCCCAGTGACCACAAAGTTTAAAAGGTAGTAATTAATTAGAATAAATTAGTTATGGAACCGAACGTAACTAAACTTTCTTATATGCTTAACCTGTAATAACATGCAACAGTAGAAAAAAGCACCTGATACATTTATATTTTCACAATTAATCAAGCTTTATTGTTTGCAATAATTTTTTGTCAAACGATAAATTTTGTTAAATTATTGTTTGCATTTGTTTATGCTTCCTTTTGCACGCTTTTGAAGACCATCCTAATTTTAATTAATTAAACCAATTTAATTAAGTTATTACGTACTTGATGAAATATAAGAAACAACGTGCACTTACTAACACAACAGTGCTTAATACCTAAAATTAAAATTAATTCAACGCAATTAACGACAGATCTTACCAAACAAATTTGATCCTGTCCTCGGCTGCGTGCAAAATTGTAAATCACTCTCAGTTTGAACTTTGAAACATAAATGCGAAGAAGAAATTATCTTTTTAATTTGTTGACGGCCCAAAAATAAACTTCGAACTATACTAGAAGATATGCACGAAGGCAAAACATTCGTAAATTACCTATCTTCGGTCACATATTAGGCCTGATTTAGACTTTGTTCAGGTTGTCTTTGTTTTGGCTACGTTAGTGAGAAAGCAATGTCTCGCATGTAGTTCAATATCCTAGTGGATAGAATGTTAGGATTATATCCATGCCGCGTCCCCGATATGAAATTTATCTCTAAATTATGATGATAGTTTTGAACTCTTCCCGTCCTCTTAATATTATTAAAAATTTATATAAAAAAAATTGCTTTGTAATGTATCGCTTTACCACTTTCTCTACAAAATGAGAAGAGGTGCAACAACTTCAAAATTGGTTATGATCAACGAGAAATTGATCTTAATGAATAACGTTGTTCATACCATGTTATTTATTATTTAATACACATTTTATAGGAGTGGCAACCACTTCTATATATTGTTGAAGTTCAAATACACACCTTATGATGGAAAGAAAATACTTTCATATTCTGATCTCACGTGATGAGATAAATAAGAACAAGGTAATGACACTTGGGTAAGGAAGCTTCTCTCCCCTTGGTTGATTGATAAAGCTAGTGATGACGTGGATCAGGACCTCCAAGAGACAATCGCTTTGACTCAATTTGAGTTTTGCTTATACGTTCGCGCTTTGACTTGCCCACATGGATTCTGTTTGCCTCTTCATTTCTGAATCCGATATTATATTTCTTCCTTGGTTGTTTTGACCAATAATTTTCGAATCAAGTTGGCCTCAGGATTAAGAGAATGAGAACCGAACCTAAAATAAAAAAGAAGAAACAACATTAATACTGCATATATCACAAGACATCTCAAGGTAGACATTTCCCTCCTGTAGTACTACAAGATATGAAGATAAACTAGGAAGCTTGCTATATATAAGCATCAAAAAGTACTTTTTTTCGTTGTTTTATTCAAAGTGGGAATAGTAGACACTGAAAAGGGCAGCATAAACTCGCTTTTCTCTTACTAGTGCATGTATTCTATTTCAATGTAAGTAAAACGTCTTTAAAATTAAGGTAATGCTAGGGAAATTAAATTTTGTAAACTAAATAAATTGGAAATTGATAATTCGATTATTACTTGAGCGTTGATAAACGCGCTCATTCCTATTGGTGAGACATAATTTAGTTTGTAAATTTTGTCTACAAATTTAATCTCCCTAGCATTATCCTTAAAGTTATAATCCCTCTGAATTTATGCAGTTGGAATCAAATTAATTTTAGAACTTTAGGAGGTTATTACTAATAAAGGCATAGTTAAAAAAAATATTATTTATTGACTTATTTATCCTTAATGAATAGTGTATTTCCTAATTAAAATTCCTTAGCGCCAATTGTTTTATTTCTTGAATATTTTTGTACTCATGTGGAGGGGTGTTTTCTTAAGATTGGACCAAGAAAAATTATAACTTATTATAATGTAGAGTTTATTCCATTACATAACTGGTCCCAAGTTGGAATCGAAATTTTTTATGACTTATTCTAATATAAAGTATTACTTTAGAGAGATAAGCCACGTATATATCAAAACACATACACTAACTATTAGGAACAAATCACTCAGCATGCGTACATCCATAAAAATTTCGGATATTGAGCTCCATAGACATGCTGTACGTTTTTGAGAGATCCCCAATCAGAGATTAATTAACCACTAAAATATGTGATTACCTACTAATTTGATACTTGGTGTGCTAAACCTAATATTTGAGAAGGTCAACCTGAATATTTTTTTCCTTTGATGTTCACCATTTAGAGGCTAGCTACGTGCCCTACAGCGTATTAAGATTGTCGCATCTTCAAAGGTTCATCCATCCTTAGCTCCATCTTCCCTTCGAGTTTTGACAATGCTTAATTTGGATGTGAAAATTATCTAATCAAGTATTGTAATCAGATGTATTATGGATTGACATCGTAATTTAAGTAGGTTGAGTTTCTTTTTGTAATGTTGAAAGAAAAGTACAACGGGACAAACAGGTATGATACACATAGAATAATAATTTGGACCTACATGAGGATACTTACAAGACCAACTAGAAACGTCTGGAAAAGATGATGAAGAATGGTGGAGGAATGGCGGGGGAAAATGCAGAAGAGATGTATATAAAATGATATACAAAATGTACCATAAACAAAAAAAGGTTTTGTAGCCAAAATAATCATTGAGATTAGTCTAATTCATCACTTTGGTCTGAAATTGAAAACGATAGAAGTGGTCTCTGAGTTTGTCCAACGTGATCACCTTTTTAAGGGTATTTTGTCAAACCAACCCCTTTTTAGCCAAAATGGTCCATGAGATTGTCATAATTTCTTACTTTGGTCATTGACAAAGAAAATTTGATAAAAGTGGTCCCTAAGTTTGTCTATCGTAAATTATTTTGGTCATTCCATGAAAAATTTGTCAATATCTTTGTTAAATTGTCACTTGAGCAACAACAGTCGACTTTTTAAAGGTGTTTTTGAGAAACCAACCCCTCCACTTAACAAGGATATTGACAGATTTTGTTAATAAAACTATTTTGTGAAAAAATTGTTAATATTCTCATTAAGTGGAGAGGGTGGTTAGACAAAAATATTCTTAAAAAGGTGGTCACGCGATTGCTCACGTGACAATTTAACGTGGATATTGATAGATTTTTCAAAAAATGACCAAAATTATTTACAATAGACAAACCCAGGGATCACTTCTATCTATTTTTCATTGTCAGGGACAAAGTGAGGATTTATGTCAATCTCAAGAACCATTTTGGCTAAAAACAGTTGGTTTGACAAAATATACTTAAAAATGTGCTCACATGGTCTCTCACGTGACAATTTAACAATGGTGTTGACAAATTTTTCACGAATGACCAAAATGATTTACAACGGACAAACTCAGGGACCACCTCTATTGATTTTCAATCTCAGAGACAAAAGTGATGAGTTATGCCAATGTTAGAGACCATTTTAACTAAAAAGCCAAACAAAAATCATTTTAAGTTGTTTCATTTTTGAGAATTTTTCACATTCTTCCCCTCCCTCACACCATTTTTCTTCATCCATCATTTCCCTTTACATTTTTATCATATATCTCAAGTATAAAAAATAAAACTGAACCCTAAAAACGAAATAGTTATAAAACGATACTTAGTGTGCGTGGTTAATTTGCAAGAGCACAAATGGTTCCTTTCTCACTTTATTATTGGATTTAGAGAGTTTTGCTTGTTCAGTGCAGAACAAATTACCCTAGCTAGGTTAATTTGGTGATCAGAAAGAAAAATCACAATGAAATAAAGTTACAAAATATCTGTAGAGACCACGTCACCACCATCCATTTGGGATAAGGTTTTTAGCAATAAGACCATACAACTTGACTTGGCGTTATAGTGAAGTAACCTAGCATAAGCCATGAAAACTCTGATTTTTTCCTCCCAACCATCTCTCTATCTTCCAAACTCTTTGCCATGGAAGCCCAAAACCCTAACCTTCCACCCCACAACCTTGCAGAACCTAGGCCACCTTAAAAGAAGTGCATACAAAACACATGCAAATGCAAAAGGCTTTGGCAGTGCACCACCAGCCACGACAAAGGAAATGCCTACAAGCAAAAACTCCGGCAAAAATGATAACAACGACGGCGATGAGGAAGTTCCACAGGTCGTTTTCGAGAGGATGCTAGTGAGAATTATCGCCGCTGTGGGCCTACCTTTGGCCACTGGCTTTGCGTTTTTGAAAGTTTTTGATGCGGTTAAGGAGAAGCACTTGTGGGATGTGCCACTTTGGCTACCATTCTTGACGACCTTGTTGACTTTTGGGGCTTCGGCTCTTGGGATTGCGTATGGGGCATTGTCTACAAGTTGGGATGCAGAGAAGAAGGGTTCAGTTCTTGGATTAGAAGAAGCTCAAAGCAATTGGGTTGAGATGTGGAGGGAGGAAGATGAGAGTAATAATAGTAATAAATGATGGGTTAATTTTGGCCTATGTAAATTGATAGTTTCACGGTAACTTCAAGCACCATTAGTTAGTTTTTGTTCTCCCCTTAATCCTGTTGTGTAAAATTTTAAGTGCATCAATCGCATGATGCTATTGATTCACATGTTATAAAATAAGTAAATGATATGATTGATATATCATAAATTTATGTACTTTATTACTAAATAAATTTTTACGTGCAATAATATAAGTGAATTAATAATACATGCCGATACTACCACTACATTAAAATCTGCCTGTGTATGTTACCATGAGTATGTGATGAATTGCGCAGTTATCTATTGTTATTTCTATACATTTATTTAACTTCAAATCAGCTGAGGACTGTCGTTAACTTGCACATTAATCATGAAAAATATTAAACCATTGGATTAAGGAAAATGTTAGTAGATCATGATTTTAGACTATATTTTGTAGATTACATGAAGTAGTGATTAATTGTTGAATACATTCTTTAATGATTTAAACAATTAGTTCAACCACTGCCGCATCATGCGGTA